GGCCGAAGGTCTATAATAAACAGGTACTGACACAGTGGGCATCAGAGAGCTGGCGCCCTCGACCGCCTGCTTGAGCACCACAGGTGCTGTCCCCTTGCCCCCCACCGCCAACTTTGGCACCCAGTGACATCAGGACAACACAATCGCCCCAGTACCAGCTACCAGTATTTCAGTTTAACCCCATTTCTGCCCCCTACACTTTTCCTCCCCATAATTACCCACGCGCCCACCCTCTTTCCAGCCCCCTCTCCTCTCTAACCAAGACAAGCCGCTGCTGTCCTTATCTTGAAACCGCCACCCAGCTACGGACCATTAGTTACATATTTGAACCAATAAGGAAACACTTACCGAGCGCTGCTGTCACTCTCCCTCTCTCCCTCTCTCTCTGCCTCTCTCTCTCCCACTCTTTCTCGTCTTCCCTCATTCTGTGCCGCTGCCGAGCCTGTCTTAGCTCCACACACACACATATACTTTATATAATTCAAAAATAAAAATGATGATAATCATCAAAAAGCCAAATAAAATTAAGGAGAGTTGAAAGAAGGGGACAGGAGGAAGAGCCTGGGAGAGGGGAGGGGCGGAGGCTTCTGCAGCTCCCTAGCTCAACTCCAGCTCCTGCATTCCTCCTGCCCCTTGGGGGCCAGAGGGTCGGGAAGGGAGAGAGAGATGCTCTCAACTTCTGTCTCTCCCCTCCCATCCTCATCCTCCCCAGCTGCCCCCAGCTTCGGCAACTCCACCTGGGAGGAAAAAAAATTAAACGGGGGAGAAAATAATTATTAATCAGATTAATTAAAAAAATACTGCTAATGATGGGAGCGCCCAGCGCAGGTTTCCCTGGCAATGGTTAGGCTCTTACAGGGAGGACTGTTCTGCGGAGCGCTCGGAACGGACAAACCACAATAAAAAGTTCACGTTCATGGATGGAATCCACATGACTTCTTGTGGCCAATCCAACTTGTGAGTCGATCGTAAACTTTTATTACTCAGCTGTAAATTTTCTGCAAACAACCGGGAATGCGATGCATTTGTGTAGCGTGTGCAAATGGGCGCCGCGGTCGCCATGTTTACCCAATTCTCTCATAGAGGGAGCATCCCCGGACCCCAACCCCACCCCTACCCCCACCCACCGCCTACTCCCCACGGGCCGGGCTGCTGTAGGAGCGCGGATAGAGCTGAGGTCGGACGCCCAGACGAAAGAAAGCTTCAAGCACTGAGGGTCGGCTGCCTCTCCTGGTTTGCCGAGTTTTAAATATTGTCCTTAATAAATGGGGCATTAAGGTTGCATCAGGGGGAATTCAAAGCTTTGCAAAGATTTGTGGCCTTGGGGCAGTGGTGGCTGGTGAGTTGCAGGGATTGAAAGGGGTGCTTCCCTACGCCTACTTTTTTTTTTTTTTAAAGGAAGAGAGCAACATCCTCTATATGGGGTACCCCTGAAAACCCCCACTCCACCCTAGACAGGAACAGTAGTCGAAGACCACTGGCAACCACCCAACCAAACCTGACCTGGAGTGGTCTGAAGAACCTAGGGGGCTAGACCCACCCTGGGCAATCCCGCAGTGCAGCAGGAGAGGTGAGAATTGGGGGCAACTTCTAGGACCCTCAAAACGACCCTCATCCCCAGGGTCCCCTTCTTAGAGAGAATGACATTTTCCCCCAAGACCATCCCTAGTATCAGGTCTTCTCACTTTCTAGTTCGAATGGCAGCTTCCTTGAAATCTTTTTACAATTAAAAATAAAATTAAAGCCCAAGATCTTGGTCTCTAGTTCATCTTCTGGGGGAGGGGTGCAAGGCAGGAAGCCTTTTGGATCCTGTCAGATTGCCCACACCCACCTGCCTTTCTCAGAAAAATTTTCTGATTCACTGAATGTGCAGCTGGGATGTACTACTGAGGTCTGAAAAAATAACATTTTACTGCCCCGAATTCCACCTTCTGTGCTAAAATTTCTAGCAGCCTATTTTTCCAGACCCCTAATTCTGAAGGTGAGTCCAGAGTAAATTCCCCTATAGAGACTATTTGCCGGGGGGAGGGGGTTGCAGCCAGGTCACTCTCCCCACGGGCCTGCCGGGCCGGAGATTTGAAGGCCGGCAGCTCTCCACTTGGTCCCGAATCAAGCTGGCATGGGAATCTCAATAGCTGGGTGCCTCAACCCTGACCAAGCGGGGATACCTCATGCCTTCCCCAAACTTCCTCCGCAGTAAGCAAAGCAGTTCCCTAGGCCAGATGCAGGGATCTCGTTTCTTTTACAAACCGACCCATAAATTTTATAACAGGTAGTTAAAAATTACGACGAGGAAGCGCTGGCCCAGCTTTTCACAACGGGCAGCAGGGAGAATGGGACGGCACTGCGGGCAGCTCACCGGAAATTTTACTTCTAGACTGTGGCACAACCTATCCTGTTCTCTTTAATTGGGGAGGGGTAACTTTCCCAGCCAGCAGGCAGTCACTGGGGCATCCCATCTGGGGAAGATAAGACTGGGGACACCAAACCCATTCCCCTATCCTAGAGTGCCCCAAGGAGCCCTTCAGGAGGCTCATCACCTTTCTCACCCACCCCGCGATCCCAGATCTCATGCAGGTCCACACCTTCCCAGGCTTATGCAATGAGTGAGTGGAGAGGAAAAAAAATTAATCCAGAGAAACGAATTTGCCCCCCAACTTAATAGCTGCATTATTCCATCTCTACGGTTGAGATTAGAATAATAAATTCTAGGCGCAATGAGCGAGATGCTTCAACTCAGCATTTTGAAAGACACTATTTTTCACAAATCACAAATAGCTTTCGGAAGCCACTTTCATTGGCTAATAAAAAAGTAAAGAATGGGAGAGAAAGTCCTATCTGCAGCAGCCGAATGGTCCCCATTCCGGTAATGGGACGGCGGGAGCATTTGGGAGGACGCGATTCTAAAGAGAGCGCATCCCGCTCGCAATTACGTTCCCCCATAAAACGGGTTTTTACCTCCTTTTCTTTCCAAACGAGAAAACAGAGGCAGAAGGGGTGGGGGAGCGGGTACTACACGAAGGGGTGGCTGGGACTCCCTCGGTTTAGCCCTCCCCATGCCTGGCATCTCGAGTAAAGCCGGGCGCCAGACGCACCCCGCCCTCCGACGCGCCGGGCTTGGGGCCACGGACGTTGCTGAGCAGGACCAGGGACGAATGGGACATTTGGTGTGGGGAAAAGGCGGCGAGGCCCTTCGGAGCCATTTATTGCGGGTTCATCCTGCTAGGCCACTGGGCCAGATATTTTTATTAATAGCAATCATAATTCCACGTTTAAAAATGAAACGGACCTCGGCGACCTCGGCCGTCCCTTGGAGCATGGAGGACACGCCTGTGGGAAGGCCCGAGGTCAGAGCGAAACGCTCTCTTTTCTGGTCTCCCTGGTGGGTAGCTGGCGTCTCCCACTGAGAACAGGGTTACCTGGCTGGTGCCCCTGCTCACAGCAGGGACCCCAGGTTCGGGTAGATTTCCCGGAGCTTCTGCTCAAAGCTGTCGCAGCTGTCTGCAGCCTGTGCTTCCAATCCACAGCCTTTCTCGGGCTGCAGGAGATCCCTAGGAAGCCCGACTCAATTCTGTACTCAGGCCCGATTTTCAGGCCCGTTTTTCGTGGGGGCCAGTGAGTGACTGGGACGCAGGTGAAATTACACAAAACAAGAGTTGGCCTGGGCCTAGGTCTGGGGAAATCAATGACCAGGAGAGGGATAGATGAGAAGTGGGGAGGAAGAGAGAGAGAGAGAGACAGAAAGAGAGAGAGAAGAAAAAAGAAAGAAAGAAAGAAAGAAAATCTGGCCTCAAAAATATTTCAGCCTTTGGGGGTCTGGTTTTTAAGACCAGAAGATCCTTCCCCTCCCTTTTCCCTTCTCCTGACTGAGTCAGAAGACTTGCATCTCTGGAATTTGGGATTATTTGACCAGAATCTTATTGGCATAAACAGATTTTTTAGTCCAGGACTCTCCAGAGAGTAGTGAGACACCTCTTTACCCTTGGGTCCCTGAGCCTTGAACTGAAGAATTCTTCATTTTAGGGGATGAAGATGCCAATACAATCCTCTCAACCCTCCGTGGCTGGGGTGGCAGGCTGTCCACTCAGCAGGCCCATCCCCCCGGGCCCATGGCCCACACTGTGGGGGCTGGGTAAACTGCCCAATTGCCAAGGTGAAGTGGGGAGCGGACTTTAAACAGCCTGAACACAAGTTGGAGTGGATGCAAGTGGGCTGAGTGACAGTGATGACAATCCTCCTGCACAGAGGATTGAATTTGAATTTCAGGATGTGGGCTCAGGCTGGTCACCTATGAGCTCACTTACTTTCCATTCCCTTTTCCTTTCCTTCAGGCTTAAGCTTCCTCATCCTTCATTTTTAGCATCCTCCATCCTTAGGCATCTTCAGGCAAGCCCTGCAGACAGGCCAGCCAGATGCCTCGAGCCTCACACGTCCCCACTCGGTTCATTATTCTAGTGCTGGGTGCTGGGTGCTGGGTGCTGGTGGCCAAGGTTTGGCCACAAGGGGCATGTGGAGATCAGAAGGAACGCCACCATCTCACCCCCAGATCCAGACCCTGGAAGAAAAAGTCATAGTTTCGGGGGAGGAAGGTGTGTGTGTGTGGGGGAACAGGGCAGATTCTTTGTCTGGGCCCAGCCCAGAGCTGAGGAGGAGAAGGGTGGATGAGTGAGGAAATCTTTCTTCCCATTGGGATCCTGGCATCTAGAAACCAACTTTGTTTGGAGCCAAGATTCCCCCAAGGGCATACCTATACACTCCTTCCTCTCTTAACCAATCGACTGTTCCTCTTCTCCCTCCTCTCAGCCCCTCACCCCCTTCACCTGCCTTCCCAGGCCAGCCTGCCTTCTCAACTCCCAGGCTTATCTCCATGTGAGTTTCTCCACCCCAAAGCCAGACCAGTGGAGCAGACCTTTTCCAGAGAGTTGGACAGGGGGATAAGAAGGGAAAGGGGAGAGAATAGGGAAGAGCTGTGGAGAAAAAGCAAGTCATTCCAGCTTCAATTATTTTTCTTCTTTTTTTTTTTTTATTATGACTCACGTATACAATACAAAGTACTTGGACCAGGAACAGGGCTGTAGGGACACAAAATCTACATTCATAGCTGGACATAAAGACAAATGACCAAAAATTATTATTATAGATATATTTTTAACGTTTTTTTTTTCTTTCGAGCACGTTGCATAAACAGAGAATTCAAGACAGAGTTAACTATACATTCAGTGCAATTTAGTTCTACTCTACTGGGGTTAGAAGCACAATAAAAGCGCACAGGACCGGCGGGCTAGGCAGTCTCAGTTGTTGGGTTTTCTTAGTGAAAGAAGCAGCAACAAACGACAACAAAACCGCATTACGAATACTCTCAAAGCAGGATTTCTCTCTATAGGTAGTGATAAAATACGCTGGAGGTTTCTTTCTTTCTTTTTTTGATTTTTATTTTTTTTCGCTTTTTTTCTCCTATAGCAGGATTTTAATTTTTTTTCTCTTTTTCTTTTTCAAAATTATTGCAGGTTCCCTTTAGGTAGTATGTTAAAGATTTATTATCAGTATTATTATTATTTTCATGATTATGGTAATTTCTGAGCACGAACACTAATGCAGCTCAGAGGAACCCGGGCCCAACAGAACAGAAATCAAATAGTGAAGGAGAGGAAGGCATGGGCCCGAGTGACCATGGGTTGGCTAGGTAGGATTTTAGAGGCGTCTGCAGGCTCCTATCTACCCTTATGGAGATGGGGGAGGGGAGAGACCCACATCTCCTTCAGGTTTCCATCAGGTTCCTAGAGAAAGTCAAGGGGGTTTTTCTAAGCAGGGAGCCCCGGGGTGGGGGAGGGGGAGGGGAGGAGACATTCCTTGCTTTTTTTCCTTATTTCTTTAAATTTGTCTTCCTTCCCTTCCTTCCTTTCTTCATTTTTTTCTGTCCTTTCCTTTTAAAACAAAAGTACATCTAGTCCACTAGTCTTAGCATAACAACAAAACCACAAGTCCTCTTCTGCATTTCTAGGGGGCTCCACTCTAAAATAAATACCAGAGAAGTAGGGAGGTGGGAGTGTGGCAAGAGACAGACGAGGAGCACGGAGGCCAGGTCTCAGACCTTAAAATCCAGGAGGAACACAGAAGGGTGGGGGCAGGGACAAGTGTGTGTTGGGGCAGGGAGTGAGACGGAGAGTCCGAACTTTCCGCTGTGTCTCGGTCTCCCCCCTCCAGCCCTCAAACAAATAAAGAGCGGGGGAAGTCCAAAGGTAATAAAACCAGAGCTGCAAGTATCTGACAGGTAGTTAGAGTTGTGAGTGTCATTCTATTCTCTATAAAAGCAAATGACAGTCGTAAACTTCTCAATTTATCTGCTACCATAAAACGAAACTTCAAGGGAGTTGCTAAAAGGGGGGGCCTCTCTTTTTTGCTTAGTCCTTGTTTTCTTCCTTTTCCTCCTCTTCTTTCTCCTCTTCCTCATTTCCTTCTTCCTCCACCTTCTCCTCATCTCGCGCTCCGGGCAGTTTATCCTTGTTGTTCTCCTTTTTCCACTTCATCCTTCGGTTCTGGAACCAGATCTTCACTTGTCTCTCGGTCAGTCCCAGGGCATGAGAGACTTCAATCCGACGCTTTCGTGTCAAATAAGGATTAAAGAGAAACTCCTTTTCTAGTTCCAAGGTCTGATACCGGCTGTAAGTTTGCCGTCCACTGCGCCTCCCTGGAGCTGGACAGAAGAAAACCCCAGTCTGGTTATGTTTGGGTGAGGGCTGGTTTTCCCTTGCCACTCTTCCTCCCCTAAAGTCCCCTCTCTGATCTCCTCAGTTCCCCTCTCTTCTGTGGAAAAGGCTAGAGCTGAAGGTAGACAGGGGCAGGAAAGTTGGGGGACTGTTTTGGTTTGGCTTCACCTTGAGAGATGGGGTGGGGGTGGAGGCTGGGGTCTGTCTGGAAACTGGGGCCCTTCAGGGACTGGGGGAGCCCTGAAGAATCCCGCCCCCCCAACGAGGCCTGTAATCCTAGGAACTGGCCTTTGCAGCTTTGTTTACAAGTGCAGCTTGGCATTTAGTGAGCAAGGCTGGGGACAGTCTGTTTCCAAAAGAAAGGAAAAAAAGCTGGGGGCAAAAAAGAGAGGCTCTGCCCACTGCCCCCTCCTTGCATCTCTCTGCCTAATGCTTTTCCAATAAGAAAAATAATTGATCTGCTGGAATGTATCACTGCTCCGCCTGATTGCTAACTGGGGACCAGCAAATAAATCATGGGCCATCCCCGCCGGAACTTGTCGCTTTATTGCTTCCCCCTGTACTTCGAAATTGGGCCATGAGGGGCCACCCTTGGAGGGGCTCTTGACCTGAGCTACTCTGCAGGTCTCAGGGAGACCCCACAAGTCCTCCATTGGGGAAACTGGCTAGGGTCTTCTGGACCTCAGAGATCCCTAATCTGCCTGGCTCCTCTCCTTTTGAGCACTCTTTTCCCCCTCCTCTTAGGCTCCCCTGTCTTCTCCCAACTGGGGGAGGTACAGAAAAGTTGGGGTAGTGGCCCTCAGGCTGGCTCTCTGAGAGGAGGCTGTGGTGCCCTAGAGAGACAGAGAGCCTGCCCTTAGAGTCTCACCACTCTCTGGCTAGCGCAGAGAAACAGGGGTCTCCCTTTGCCTTAAGACAGCCTGGCCACTGTCCTGGACCCCAGGCTCCCTGCCTCTGCAGAAACTGGTTTGTTCCAAAGGCTGACAACCCTCAGGGTACTCAGGGTACCATTCCCAACCACCTCCCCAACTCTGACTTTAGAGATGCGGAGTGGGAGAGTCAGAGAGAGACAGACAGACAGAGATGGAGAAAATGATCTTTAACCCTTTGCAGCCACACAGCAGCTTTCCCCCACCTTCACCCCAATCCCCTAAATGTTCTAGGCACCCCCTCCCCGCCCCACCCCAGCGGAGCCTTCCCAACCTCGAGAAACCCACCCAGGCACGGGGGGTGGGGCGGGAGAGACCCCAAAGCCGGGAGAAAAAGCGAGGGCAGACAAAAAGGAGGCCAGGGAGGGGGGAAAGACCCCGGAGCGCGGGAGACCAAGGGGGAAAGAGAAAAGGCTTCTCACCGTGGGGTCTCATCCATGGAAACATGAGGCTGGGAGACGAGTTTTGATTTAAGTGGCCTTGTCCTTCGCTACTGTTAGTGTTGGCGGAGGATTTACAGTCGGGATATTGCACCACGCTCGCCTCTTGCTGAGCCCCATAAAGGGACTGTCTGGGGAGCGCCTCGTAGCCATAGAATTTGGAGGCGTCTCCGTGGCAGCTAAGCGAGCACGGGTTCTGCTGGTAGCCTGAGTTGGAGATGCCGGAGGTGCCGTGGTGGAAGAAGTCTTGGACGTGGTGCGAAGCGTGCTGGAAGCCGGGCGCCGAGCCGCCGGGCCCGTACACCAGCGCATGGCTCCTGCCCACGCTCTGAGGGAACCGGCAGTCGTAATAGGCCGGTTCCAGGGACTCGCCGCCTTTGTATTTGGAGAACAGGGGGTTGACGAAGTAGGAGCTCATGCTGGGTACATGAAAACCCGCGGCCCCCTCCCCTCTGGCTCAGGACTCCCCCACCCGGTACCCCCGAAACTCCCCTCCCCCCGGGACCGAACCCCAGGCCGGCTGGCTCCCCGGGACTGGGCTGGGCTGGTGGGCTGGGGGCTGGGCAGGTTGGGGGGCGCCTCGGTGCTGAGCTCGGCCGGCTCAGCAGAGCTCCCGGGGCTGAGGCGCGGGTGGCGGCGGGCGGCGAGCGGGCGGCGGCGGCGCTCCTCACTGTCGGTAGGTAGAGCTCGCGCTCTCTCACTTAGCTCTTTCCTTTAACAGCCCAGGCGAATTCCTCAGACTCCCGGCGGTGGCGGCGCTTACACGCGATTCGCGTTCATCAATCCACGACATGAAGACAGGCGAGAGAGAGAGAGAGAGAGAGAGAGAGAGAGAGAGAGAGAGAGAGAGATGGCGGGGGGGTGGGGGGGAACAGGGCTGGGGAGACCTGGAGGAAAGGGAGGGGAGGAGAGGGGGAGGGATGGGGGTGTGTGGTGTGTGTAGGGGGTGGTGAGCCAGCCCCAGCTAATGGCTGGGATCAGCTTTTCCAGGGTAGGAATTTAGATGTGAAGGTGCCTCTCGCCCCCAATCTTGCTTCTCTTTTCCTTCCTTTCAGAGAGAGAGAGAGAGAGACACCTGAGCCAGCAGGTCAACCCAGGTTACCTCAACAGGTATAAGACCTCCAAGGGGATGAATGCCTGCAAGCCAGGGCAGGGCCCCCAACCCAAAAGATGGGCTCCCTAGGGGGGTCCCTAAGTCTGGAGACTTTGAAGAGGAACAAGTATACCTATCCCCAAACACTTCAGGCATCAGACCCTCCATCCCCCGGCCCCTCCCCAGGGTCCAAAGCTGTCCTGTCTTCCTTAGATCCTGGAGACTGGCTTGCTGCCTGCTAGGGGAGAGGAGAGGGTCGGAGGTGGTGGGGCTGGGGAAAACTCCAGACACCCCGTCAGGGCCACACTGCCCCTTCATACACCAACCCCTGCATGGAGCGGGAAGTCCAGGCAATGGCCACAAGCTTGGCTAGGGGCTCTGAGAGCAAAGCTGCTTATGGAGACTAAAAGGAAAGGGCAGCTGTGTGTGCCTGGCTTCTGTCTGGGCTGATTCAGGACATTTCTTCGTAGGAGACTGTTTGCATCTGACTTAGAGGGGACTGGAGCAGGCCTCTTACTTGTCCCCACATACTCCCATCCCATAGGAAATGCCAGCTCAACCTGGTGGGGTTCCTGGCTTCACTGCAGCCCCCTCTTCCCCAGGCAGGCTGCCCAGGTCAGGATGTGGATGAAAACTGTCAACAGACACTCTTTAAATATTTATCCACGTTTTCTCTGGGGGGGTTCCCCCTAGCCCCAAGGCCGAATACATTCAACTTAATTCTAATGAATTAAAGAACCTTAGTCCATCAGCACCCTTCTCTGGCCATAAGTGTGTACGGTGATTAACACAGACAGAGAGAAAAGGGAGAAAGTGAGAGTATATGCGTGCGGTGTGCATACGAATGAAAAAGACGAGTAAGAATGATTTTTCCAGTCCTCTTCCTCACCAGGGTGTGAGGTTGTTATACCCAGGCAATCCTGGCGCACACTCAGGATGCACACACACTGTGCCTGCTACTTCTCACCCTGAGACCCATCAAGTCCATGCTCAGTGTGAACTAGTGCACACATACCTGGAAGCATCCTGCCCCCTCACACACACTGTACACCCATGTGCACACCCAGGCACACAGGCACATGATGTCTGACAAACACAGACGCATCTTTAGGTCTTTGCATTATGAAAAAAATGCTACCTGCTTTTCTTCCACATCCTGGGGATTTCAGGGTTGGAGGAGGAAGGAGGTGGTTAGACAACCAGATATTCTCCTTCCCCATCCGGATCCCAGCTCTGGAGATGGAAGAAGGAACGGCGGTTCAGGGAAGGATGGTTGAGAGAGAATGAACGCCTCCCCCACACCCCCCAGTCCCTCTGTTATAATAATGGCCGGGGAAATGGCCACTTTCTGTCAAATTCCCAAAGGAGATTCACTGGTGCAGGCAGCAAGAGCTCCTTCCAGGATCCCCTGCATTTGGGGAATCTCACCATCTCAGGAGCTGCCCAAACTCTTAGACATCCAGAACTCTGGCACTGGAGCAGCAGGAGGGAAGGGTCAGAAGAGGGCTGTGCCAGGGCTGCAGGCCTCCCCAGGGTCCAGAACAGTGGGGGTCAGGACAGGGCGTCTGTACCCCTACCACAGCCTGCTTCAGCCTTGGCTCCAGCCCTGCCTTTTCTGAGCCTGCTCTTCGGGTGCCGCGGTGAGCAGAGTGGACTCTGGGCTTCCAGCATCTGGGTCACTGGGGACTGTCATAAATACTTTCTCTTCCCAGCCTGGAAAGAGGAGGCCCAGAGGGCTGGATCCGCTGTGGGGCCTGCGCCTTATCATTTAGGGGGTGGGGTGGGGGGGATATTTAGACATTTTATGGTCCAGCGAAAACCCTGCCACAGAGCTATTCTTCCGGGCCTTTGTGTCTTGGAATGCGACTGTCCCGAGTGTGCTGCCACCACCGCCTGCCCGGAAAGCCCACCAGTCCCTCAGCCCAGGCCGGACTTGGTTTCCCCTTTGGGGGGTCGCTCGCCCTTCTTTCATTTGTTTGTTTGTTTGTCTTCTTTTACACGTTATCTGGTTTATTCCGCTCCCTGAGCCTGGAAATAAAGGAACCGAAAGCAGCCATCCTCGCCGAGGCCGTCTCTGTCCCTCTCCCCGAGGCCTGCACCGCCCTCATAGGTACCACGGATTTATGTTCGTTTGTCCGGGTCATTCTGCCTTTTTGTGTTAATTACGCGCTGCCTGCTTCGCACTTATCTCCTCCACAAAGCGATTATTTTTGACGCCTGCCCTCCTGAGCCTTCCGAGCCCGCTGCCAGAGCGAGGGCCCATCTCCCGCTGCCACTCGCGAATTATTTACACCTCGCAGGTGAGAGAATTGATTTGCTCAGAGCCAGTGGGGCCGGGCCGGCCGAGGCGTGGGGCCTTCTCGCAGCCGCTGCGGGCCGGGCCTCAAATGTCAATGCGGCCAGGGCGGCCTGGGGAACCGCCGCCTCTAACATTGAGCAACAGCGCCACCTCGCGTCCATTTGCTCCAATGCAGTCCGGCTGGGAAAAAGCTAACAGAGGTCCCAGGCCTGGCCCAAAGGTGGGAAGTGGGAGGAAGGAGCCTCCAAAGCGGTGCGCAGGAGAGAGATTCCCTGGAAGGGAGTTGCCCCAGGACTGCTGTTCTTTTGTTTTCTAAGTTCTTTGAAATAAAACCTTTGAAAGGTTCCACACTGTTTTCTTTTTTTGTTACCCTCCCTTCAACAATTAAGAGACACTAAGCAAAGCAACTGCCGCGATCTCCTCCCCTCATTCAGGCGCATTTCTGGGCTTGAAACCTCTCCGCAAAAGCGGATGCAAGCTCCAAGGCTCCCACGACCGCCTGCCCGCGGCGCGCACCCTAAAGTCCTCGCTCCTCTTACCCTGATGCTGGCCCCGCACCGCCTATTCCGCCGCCGCCTGCAGGACTTTGGGGTGGGACTCTGACTTCTCCAGGCTGTTTGACCCCTGGTTTGTAGCCCATCCCTCTCGCGCGCGCGCTCTCCACCTCTCCCTCTCAGCCAGTGAGGTCCTGTTCTCCGTGGGCCATAGACAAAACATTCCTATAATCCGATTTCAAAGGAAACAGTGTCCACCTTATTTAAACCATAAAACAATTAAGCCCAGACGTCTAGCCAGCTCCGCGCTGCTGTTTTGTTCGGCCCCATTCAGAACCCAGAACAGGGAGACAAACAGCGCCATAAAAGTGGCATTTCGGGGCTGCGGAAATGTACCTATCCGCTGCCTTCCCAAGTGGAACAACCTTTAGGGTTTTGTGATTCTGACAAAGGAGCAGAGGAGAGGTGGGAGGGGAAGATTAGGGTAGGAGGGCGTTTGCTAGCCCCTCTGTACCCCTAGCTTTCATTTCTTTCCCCAGATGGGTGTTGTGCTGTTTTAATTCGTAAATGATAGCGACTAAAAATTGGTTCCAATCCTGACCTGCAGGCTGGGCTGGGATTGAACAGTGGGCCGGGCCGGGTGGGCCTGCTCTGCATCCCATGGTCTCCTCAGGGTCCTCCAAGCCCGCGGCCCTCCTTCCTGCCCGCAGTGAGGCCGGCTCAGGCCGCCTGCAGGAAGCAGGCCGCGCTGATGGACGCTGAGGGGAGGCGACAGGGCCTGGGAGCAGGGGCGGGGTGGAAGCCCGGAAACGCCGCTCTGGGGCTGGGAAAGAAGCCCGCATCCCGGCGCTCCGGACCAGGGGAGAGAGGGGTATCTTGGCCTCCACTGGGTGGGAAACAGGAGTCAGGGTTCCAGAACAGCAAAATAGCCAGAGAGTCTTCAGGAAGGAGATAAAACTAGAAGCAAAGCACGTTTCAAACGGATCAAAAAAACAATGCTCCTGGAAACGGGGAAGAGGTCTCCAAAGCTCGAAAGAGGAGCCGGTGCTTCAGCGACTGTGAAGTCCCTTGTTTCGACTTGACTGCCCCCCAATATTATCGAAACAAAAATTTCACCCGTTCCTACCTTCCTCCACCCCCCTAAATGGGAGTGTTTAATAGAAGTAGAGGGTAGGAGATTCAAATGATGGGGAAGGGGCTGGTCCCTACAAGTGTCTCACCGTCCTGTAAGGTGATGCTATGGGGGATCAGCTGGGGTCCCCAATTATTTTCTTTCACGGAGGTATCCCCCAAGTATTTAGAGCGACACCCTGCACCCTTGGCAGAATGGGCAGCTTGAGATATTAAAAGACTATATTTCAAGCAGTCTGATTTTAATAGTTTCCAGATTGGGGGATTTCCGAGAAAGGGGGCGCCGGGCCGAGGCATACCCGGCAGCTTGTGTCTGCTTCTGATTAGCAGATGAAAACTGCTGGTTCTAGAAAGGCGCTCTGGGGTGCAGTGCAGCCGATCAGCCCCACCGGGCTGTTACACACAAACATCCCCACACATTTGTGCTTCAGGTCCCAAAACCACCAGGCAGCACCCCACTCCTGGCTAATGTCTGGCCAGTTTTCTTGGGCCTTGGGCGCACAATCCCCCAGAAATGCTGTAACTGCACAGCGTGACCCAGTCACCCCCAGACAAACATTCAAACTAAATACCAGAGTAGGGGAGATAGATTGGGAAGAACAGAACTAGGAGAAGGAGTGAGGAGCTGAGACTGCATGAAGGAGAAACTGCATCTTATTCTGATTGTATTGGTTTTGCCATCTTTCTCCTTCCTCCCTTCCTTCCTTCTTTCCTTTCATACTATTCTTTCCTGTCTCCTTCCATGTCCCTTCTCTTCTCGCTCACTCTGTTTTTCTTCTTCTCCCACCACAGTCCCCAGTGCCTGTCCTGCTCCCTGAGGCCTGCCTGGCCTTCCTCCTAGTCCCACACCCCCTCCCAGCCTTCATTCCCAGCCATCACTGGAAGCACCAAAGCACCAATGCAGCCAGGCAAGAAGCCAGCCTGGGCCCTCACCCAGCACCCAACTTTCATCTTCACCTATCTCTTCCCTCCGATCTCATGTACTCATAAATTATTACAATTAATTACAGCCAGGGAAAGCCATTCATGCCGTGCCTCTCCCCCACACTCCATCTAGCCACCAGGAAACTTGTAGGCAGCCAGCCGGGGCAAGCACTAGCTGGGCCTGGGCCTCAGCAGCCTCTACCCCGCCCCCAGAACCCCCCCACCCCTCCCTGACTGGAGAGAAGCAGCAGGCATCTGCCCTTCCAAGGTAGAGGGAGCCCATTCTCTGGCTCCAGCCTCCGGTAGACCTGAGCACTTGCCTCCTCCACAGCAGCAGACTGGGAACCAAAGGGAAGAGAAATAACGAGAACTGGATACAGTTGCGTTTCTGTTTTTTTAAGTGACTTCGATATATTAACACAGGGCTGTTCTACCATAACAAACAGAAGCACGTTACAGGATGGACGCTGGGGACGAACGCTGAGGGTGAGAGGAAACACTGCTATGTACAGCCCAAGGCGCCGGCCTGCACGCCCGACCCAGCTCGCGGCACGGTCCCCAGCCCTGCCCCTCAGCTCCTGGGCTGGGAATCATTATTATGTATGTGTGTGTGTCTTTTTTTTTTTTTTTTTTTTTTGTACAAAATCTGCACGCAGAGCGCCCCAGGCCCGTGGAGGGATGGCCTGGACCAAACACGATACAGGGGGAAAAATAGAAATATAGCGATTCAAGTACTGGCTTCTCTGAAGAAAGGAGAAAAAAAATCACATTTGTGTGTGTCATTTATTTCGGTTGCGCTGGGGAAAGAGAACGCAGTTTCTCTCCCTGCCTCCTCCTTGCTGGGTAGAACTAACTCTAAAACACCAATATCTCAACACTGAACCCTCCCAAATCGCAAGAGTTTTCTTTTCCCCTTCCTTTTTTTTTTTTTTTTTTTTTCCTTTTTAAGCTGATTGGCTTTTCTCTATCTTGCTCTTTCCTTGTCTTTTTCGTCTCTCTCCCGCCTGGGTTGGGGTATTTTGTGGGGTTTTTGTTTTTCCCTTGGCTGTGCTGAGGCAGCAGGCTGGGCAGGGTTTAGGACTGCTCCTTGTCGGTTTTCTCTTTATTCATCTTTTTCATCTTCATCCTTCGGTTCTGAAACCAGATTTTGACCTGCCGCTCAGTGAGATTGAGAACCCGGGCCACCTCATACCGACGGTCCCTGGTTAAATACATATTGAAGAGAAACTCCTTCTCCAGTTCCAGCGTCTGGTACTTGGTATAGGGGCAGCGCTTCTTCCTCGTGGAACGGGCGTGAATCCAGTTGGCCACGGGGTTGCCTGGAGGGCCAAACACAAGCAGGGGTCAGTGGGGCCCCTTTCCAGCCCAAGACTTCTGCTGCTCTACCCCCAGACTTAACCAGGCTCCCCAAACGCAACAACTGAACCTGAATTTGGACACATTTTGCTTTAGGAATTTTCCTCCTTCCTCATTTTGCATTCTGTCCCCTCCCCAGCTTCCCCCTTTTCAGTTTCCAGCACCTAAAACTGTAGGAAATCCGAAGCTATCAAAGCCCCTCCAGTCTGGTCCTCAGCTTCAAGAGTAGTAATTTGAGAATATCCTCATAAAAAGTCCAAATTCCCAACCGTTTCATAGGCCCATAAACGCTTCTCTCTTGTTTTTTATTTTTATAGCAAGGTCTCTCTCCTCCCCACCTCCCTCCTCCTCTGCCCCCTCCCATCTTCCCAGCCCACGACCAAGTCCTGAAATTTTAGCAGTTCTGCTTCCTGACCCTGAGAGTCCCTAAGCCCCTCACCACCCTGTGCAGCACCCTCCTCCCGCTCGCTCGGAGTTCAACCCTGCTGAGGCGAATTCTCAGGGTGATGCTGACAAGGGAAAAGTCTTTCTCCTCTCCCCAGAGAGCTGCTGGCCTTGGGGACAGGCTCCCCTATATCTTAGTTTTCCTGTTTGGCCTCAAGTGCCCCCTCCTGCCAGCCCCAGGACAGGCTCTGCAGGAGCCAAGCCTCCAATTTCAGGTTTATGGGAGTTGCTGAGGGCAAGCAGGGAAGCCTTCTGAGGGGTATAATTAGGCCCTGGCCCCTGATGGGGCTGGAGGAAAAGATTTCCTGCAGCCCCCTCCTGAGACTCCCCTAGACACTTCCTCACACCCAGGGGGCTGCACCCCCTCTCCTGCTGTTTCTCCTTCTTTCCCTTTTTTCTGGCCCTGCAGCTCCCACCTGCCCCCAACCCTAGCCCTCCTGTGCAACCCTTAGAAGGTGCCTGTCTCCCTGATTGGAGTGTCTGTCTGTGTGTGTGTGTGTGTGTGTGTGTGTGTGTGTGTGTGTGAAGAATTTTCCAATCTGGGGAGATGCCCACTCCTCATCCCTGACCCCCATTCTCAACCCTTCCCCTCCAAGACCCTCAGAAGAGGGTTCTCAAGTTTAAGGAGACTCAGACCCCACTTTTGTCCCCACTTCTCTCTGAAAGTCCTGATCTCTCCAAGTTCCCAGGCTTCGAAATACCCCAGACCCCTCACCCAGTCCTCCTGGGGAAGAAGTCCATGGACCTTCTGTTTTATGACTCTCTAGTGGGGTGAGGACCTCCATGCTGACTGGGAAGCAGGGGTACTTCTTTTCGCTGGGGGTATCTCCTCTGTGCCCCCAGTGTCCTCCTCACCTCTTCCCCATCCCATCTCAAATCAGAAACTGAACCTCGCCCCCAGCCCCATTCCCTGGCCCTGCCTGCATTTCTTCGAAAGTGGTGACTGAGCCAAAAAGCCTGGGCTGGGAGGAGGGGGCAGGGGTCTCTCATCAAAGCCAGCTCCTGAGAGAGGAGCTCCCCTCAGCCCTCTCCCAACCTGTCTCCCTGGGCCCCCTTCTCAGACCTTCCTGCTCCTGAAAGCTCCCCAAGGTAATTCGCTTTTATTGAGTTCTTGCCCCCTCGCCCTCGCCCCTCTCCCGCGCTCCCTGCACGTTTCGGGAGGGCTGTAATCCGGCTGCCCCCGCCCGTCCTCCCCTCCCCTCCCGCGCCGGTTGTAAAGGAAAATTGCTCCCAACTTACTGGGGTCCAGGTCGGCCTTCTCCTCTTTGTGCTTGCTGCCGGCGAGCGCGTCCGCCTCGGGCGAGGGCAGTGTCTGCGGGGCGCGGTCGCGCAGCTCCCCGGGCGAGCCGTACATGTAGTCCGGGTAGCTGCGGCCGTCGCCCGGGCCGCAGTCCGCGCGGCGCCCGGGGTAGGCGTCCGGCTTCAGGGCGTAGTGACGGCCCCCGGCCGGGAAGCTGGGGAAGGAGACGGCGCCGGACAGCGGCTCGAGCCAAGTCCGCATGTAGCGCGTGTCGGCGCCGAGGTGGGGCTGGGGGCCGTACGGGTGATATACCACGGACGACTGCGAGGGCACGGGCGCCCACGACGTGCTGAACACTGCCGGCTTGGGCGCGAAGCTACAGGACGGAAAATCGCTACAGTCCGGCACCAAACCGCTGGGTCTGGCGGCGGCGGGGTGAGCCCCCGTGGCCGGAAACCTGGACGCTAGGAGGTCTTCATTGTCGTGAGAGATGAGCGAGTCCACGTAATAGTTACTGATGGGCCCCGTCGCCGACATCGTAACGGGGTTTTACATACATAAGATTATTGTATGAACTGTATATGTACTTTTTATCTGCTCACAGAACAATCAAGGCAGGTAATTATTTTTCCAGCCTTTTCCCTGCAGCTCATTGGCTCCCCGGCCCCCACGTGATCGTATTTACCCAAAAATACGGCGCGGATCAATGCGCAGGGGCTTTTTTTTCCTTGGTTTTTTTTTTCCCCCTCTCCCACCCCCTTCTCTCCGCTGCTCCCCGCGACCTACGATTTCCTGGGGGTCCGGAACTCTGGACCCAAGGCACCAGTCACCCCCTCAGGACGGCTCGTAGCTCATCTGGGAAGCCCCTGTGCCCATGCCCACCCATAAGCAGTTGGCCTCCCCCCAACCATGAGGATTTTTTAATGGGGTGAAAATGCCAGTCCCAGAAGCCAGGGTTCCCGGACCCCCAGGGCCGAGCTGGGCGCTGGAGCCCCGCAGGGGCGGGGAGGCCGACCGAGGTAGGTGGAGGAACTATTTCTTGACGTAATCCGTCTCTGTCGGCCCCGACGCTCCCGCAGTCTCTGCGCGAGCCGAGATCAGCGATTGTCAGTTCGGAACGTGGCTTTTAAAAATGCGTTTTTAAATAGCGTGTATGTATGTATTTCTTTCAGGAGCAGCAGCAGCGGTGAGGGAGGGAGGGTGGGAGGGGACTGGGGAAGCTGGAATGGAGGGAGGGAAGGAGGGAAGGGGAGCGTTCTTCTGCCACTGGCCAACTCAGCCCCCCAAATCTGGGGCAGGGGAAGCCTGGGGAAGGTGGCTCCTGGGTGGGAGGGGTAGAACCTCAGGATCTCATACACCTTTACAGCAGCCTCAGAAGTCTTCTCTTTGCTTTGGCACAGATACACAGGCGCCTGTATTTTAAACTTATTGTCTATATCTATTTATCTTTCTTTGCCAGCTTGAAGAAGTGGAGGAGAGATCTACACAACTTGAGTGGGGTGTCCCCATCCCATCTTCCTGCTCAGTCTCCTTTGCCCCCAGCTCCATCTCTGCGACACTTCCCCCACCCCCACCCCCCAAAAAAGAAGTCACTCCCGGGCTCTGTCTACAGAGAGCCAGGGTGAGAGCGGGCAAGGCGAGAGAGCGACCTCGGTCGTGGGCAAGTAGCTTGTTTTTACATCCTTCAATAAAATTTTTATGAGGATCATTTGATTGTTCATAAATGTGTCTTTCATTAAATAAAATTGTAGGCTGTTTTTGGAACGGGAAAAAAGCAACGGAGGGACTGGAGAAAGCAATTTCTTTGGGGTCGGATGCAGGAATTCCAGAGGGGGCAGTGTGATTGTAGAGGAATATCAGACAACTTGGATTCCTCCCCCCAATAAGTTGGTTGCTACCCTCCTCCTTCAACTGGGAGTTTGTGCCCAGCCCTTTGCTTTCCATCAGACTGCCCCATGGTGGTGTAGTAAAGGGGGGCTTTAGCCAAGCAGGAAATTCTCAGTGTGGATGCAGAAGAGGGGCATGGGAGGTTGACTGGGGGGGGGGAACAGGTGATGTCCCCAGAGATATGGTGCATTTAGGCAGGGCAGAGTGAGTTTGAAGGAGGGGTGCAATTTCAGGGTCAGAAAGGAAGAGTCCCAGTCTGTGGCCAGGGAAAATAGGCTGAGACTGAGATGCAGGCTCTGAGCAAGCAGGGTAGGAGGCTTCCCAGACCCGGCCACGCCTGCCCTTCTTTCCCCCTCCTGTCCCCAGGAGGGGACCAAATGCCAGGGGTGGGGGTGGGGGTGGGGGCTAGTTTTCTCCTGCATCTCTGTGGATCTTTCTCCTCTGGGGTGGAGAAGGGCTGGGGAGAGTGTGCATAGTATGTGTGTTTGCGGGAGGAAAGTTGGGGGGAGACAGCTGCAGCTGGCAGCACCGACCTCAGCTCCATAGTCCCCCTCCCAAGTCCCTGCTCCTCCCCCTGGCCCGTTCTTTCCTTTTCCTTTTCGGTCTAACCGGGTGGTTTAACGGGGCTGGGATTTCAACGCATGGGGGAGCATGAGGGATGTGTTTGGTTGGGGAGAGGCGACTTGGGGGTTCAGATCCTTGGCGCCACTGTTTTCCCCTCCCTTGAGCTGGACTGAGCTGGGAAACCCAACTTACAACAAGAAACAGAATATCTCTTTGGCCTTGATGGAGTTGGGTTAGCTGTCAATCAAAAAATCTTCCTCACTAGTTCAAGGAAAAGACAGGAGGTTCCAGTCCCCCTGCCGAGGCTTTCTCCAAATCCCCAGTGCAGCCAGCACCTCCCCCAGCCCAGGGCAGCTGAGGACCTGGCCGACTCTTGGGCGGCTGCTGGCAGCGTTGAGCAGAGACGTTTAGCCCTCAGCGGGGCCCGGGGCCAGACTGCGACCAAGAGGACATCAAGGGACAGAGCCGGAGAGAGACTGAACCCGAGACAGCCTGAGACAGACCAACTGAAACGCGGAGGCAGGCCCAAGAGAGGAAAGAAGGAAACGGAGCATCAGAATAGAAAGAAAAAGGGGGAGCGAATTAAAGAAAAGAAGGAAGGCAAGATGAAAAGAGATAGGAGAGGCCAGAAAGGCAGGCGTGCAGAGGGGGAGGCGGAGGAAGGGCGGCCCTACGCAGGCAGGACGGGGCAGGGGGCGAGCTGGCGGAGCAGCCGTGGCATTGTGCAGTCCGCTGGCTTGCCGGGCCTTTGCGCGGGACCGGCTCCGGGCGCGGCGGCCACTTCTGTCTGGACACAAAGGCGGAAGAGGCCTCCTCTCCGGCCCCTCCCAAGAGACCTGCTCTGGTGGGTACACTAAGCCTGCGGGATATAGAACCCCGTGTTGGCCCAGACAGCCACCCAGGCGGCTGGGGGCTGAGCCATGCTCTAGTCAAGGAGCGAAGAAACAGAAGAGGAAAGAGGTTTCACGCCTGCTCCTCCTTCACGTCTTCTCCAGGCGACAGGGCCAGCTGCCCCAGCCTCAGCTTTCCTGGGGGAAACAGTCCCTAAGGAGCCTCTCCTATGGGCCTCTGCTATTTGGGAGAGTCCCTCAAGAAGACATTGGGGCCGTAAAGAGATGCCCCCTTCTCTCCTACCCCTTGGAACATCGCCTTCTTTTCAACTCTCGAGCTGCCTGCGCACCCTGCCTGCCCACTCTGCGGAGGCGGCAGCAGCGGGCAGTAAGGATCCCTGCTGCCATCAAATCCCCTGTGAAACCAAGGAGGAGATTGTCGCTTTCTTTTTTTTTTTTCCGGGAGTAGGAACTCCGAACCCTTCCCACTCAGAGGCAGGCACGGCTGTGGATCAGGAAGCAGGCCTCGCCCACAGCCCCCTCCCAGCCAATGCCTCATTTTCCCTGTGCCTTGCAGAGAGAGGCAGCCTTGGGAAGGGGGGCTAGAAGAGGCTGGGAGTCCCGGAGTCCACTGGGCGGAGGTCTCCCAGGTCCACAACTGCATGTGGCCTGTAGCCCCCATTCTCCACATTTGCAGGGGGCGGGGGTGGCAGACCAGGGCTTTGAAGCGGACCTGCAGATTTCCCTCAAATCCAGGTTTGTAGGTGGGGGGCGGGGCACAAAGGATATTGGGGTACCAAGAAGGAAGTTCTGTCTTCCTGGGGTTCAGTTACTTCTGAATCTTCTGCCATATGCCAGACTCCCCCTCACCCACACCACTCACTTCAATTTTTTCCTCAGCACCGCTGGGTCAAACTGAGAAACTGAAGGCCCCTGGGAGTTCTTGTTGGGGAGGGGGAAACCCCAGCTTTAGCTCGCAGCTGTGCAGTCACTCTGGTTCCTAGAGTACCCTCCCACCCCCAGAAGACTTCACTGGGCACCGGAGAGACCCCTGAGAGGGAGGGGCACCCTTACTCCATCACCTGAAACCTGGGCAGCTGCGGCCACAACCAAACTAGCACCGTGGGAAGGACAGACAGAAAGACAGACAGGTTAGAGTCGTCCCCTCCCCCTGCCCCGCGCCTTCCTTTTAGTGAGTTAAATTCCCTCCGGTTCAATCCACACCGTCAAGTTCGGATTAAATTTAAAACAGGCTTTTCCCGGTGCCCCCAGCTGGCCATCCCGGCTGCCTCAGGCAGGGAGCCCGCTCCCGGCTCGTCAGCACCCGCCCTGCGCGGAGAAGGCCGTACTCCATTTGCTTTCATTTTCCTTCTCCCCCTGAAATGGGCTCATTTCACCTCTCCACTGCCCTTTCCCCCTCCCCGCCCCCTCCCCGGTTCCCCTCTACTTTCCCCCCTTCTCTGTCCTGATCCCTCTTTGTTGGGAAAAACACACCCACACACAACTCCTCCTAGCTAAGGCCTGCGCTGGAAGCAGAAACTGAGTTCTCCTGGCCCGCGGCGAGGAGACCCGCGTCCTGCCCCCACCCCAGGTGGGTATCCGGGATCCCTACACACCAGGAGTCAGGTCCCCAAGCCCAGCAGGAGTGAAATCCCTAGGGCCTGTGAACGTGGCCCTCTCAACGCCACGGCCTGCCGGCCCTGCATTCCCGCCGGCGCCCCCGCCCTGCCACTCCGCAGCAAACGGGGCTATTTCCGGCTCCCCCTACACGATCTGGCTTTCCAGCCTGGGGAGTGGCTGGAGGGGGAGCCGCCCCAGAGCTAGAGCCGCTCCCTGCCCTGCCTGGAGCCCCAATGGCCCTGAGCGCCTTGTTACCTGATCTTTTGTGTGATGTATGTGTCGCAAGGAAATTTGCAGTGACTTTGGAGCCCAGACTGAGGAAGCGGAGGTGGCGAAAGGAGAGACAATACGGGTCCGAAGTACAATTAAGGGGCCAGAGCCGCTCGTCTCTCCCCCGCCCTCCCTGCCCGACTGCGAGCTGTCTGGCCTCAAACCTCTGGGCGACACGCGAACCTGGAGCCGGAAACTCACCCCGTGGCGGAGGGAGTCAGAGGACTCTGCATCCAGAAAACAGAAGCAAAGCGCCCTTCCAACTTGGGGGCGACTTAACCAGCCCTGCTGAGTTGCAGCGAATCCAATGAATGAAAGTGCAAATTCCGCCGTATTTTCCCGATTTTTTCCAGCCTTGGGAAGGAGAGCCCAGGGTTTGGGGCGTCTCAGACAGAAAGGCAAACCGCATCTCCTGAGGCAGACAGACCCACAACATGAGTGTGAGCCTGAGATCACAGACAGGTTCAACATTTCCCGAGGCCTCTTTGCCAGGCCCGGCGAGCGCCGATCTCCCTACCTTCTCTCCCTCCAAGGCCTCAGGCAGAGAGACCCAGAAGACTCGGTCCCTCTGGCTTGGTCCAATCCCGCTTCGGAAGCTCCTTCGTTACCTGCTCCTCCGCTCCCCACGGCCACAGTTGCAGGGCAGCCGCCTCCCGCCTGGGGAGGGAAGCCCCGGCCACCACGGCCGCCGCCGCCCGCCCTTCTTCCCTCCCTCCCTCCCTCCTTCTCGCCCTCCCTCTCTCTCCCTCCCTCGCGCGCTGCCGCTCGCGGGGCCCTCCCGCGGGCAACCTGCTCTGGACCAAATCCAGGTATCTCCGAAAGGTAGAAAAAAGAAAGGACCTCTTAAGTGGAAAAGAAAAGAAAGAAAGACCTTCTATGGCATTTATTTTTCATGCTCTGACTATTGGTCCGCCTCAGTTCAGACGCCCCGGACAAGGCCAGGCAGTTGCAGAGGTGCGCGGGGCCTGCTGCCTCGCCCACGCTGACCGCCGCGCCCCACGCGCCGCGTGCTCCACACTCTGGGCCGCCGTCCCCCAGCGCAGCCCAAACACCCAGCAGACCTCAAGGTCCTTCCTACAGACTCAACATCCGGTTGCCCGCCTCGCCCCCGGCCACAGCCCAGGAGCCCGCTCTGCTCTGTCTGCGGCCAAAGTCCATACACAATCCACCTTGCCGGTGCTCTCGCGCCCGGCTCGGACACCCCTCCTGGCCACGCCGCCCTCCGGGCCACACGCGGGCTGCGGCCCGGCCCAGGACTTCGAACCTGGCCCCTTGCACGACCCACACAAAGCCCTGAGCCCTGGCATTCCCACCCGCAGCCCCCAGTCCCTGCTGCCGCCGCCTCCTTCACCTGTTCTCGGGAAGGGCAGCATCTCCGAGCCGGAGCTAGGCGGTGGGCTGGTGCCAGGTCCCACAGAGGCCACAGCGGATCTTCCGGGCTAAGACCGAGCCCCAGCAGCCGACTAGAGATCTCAGAGACCAAGGCTCGCTTTGGCGAGCTCTTGCCTTTTCCTCCTTCTCCCGCAAGTCTCAAACACTCACACACCGAGAGTTCAGCTCTATAAATCCTGCTCCTCTTTCCCATATCATAATTAAAAAAAACCAGTAGGGGAGGTTTTAACTTTTATTGCGATTTCTGGAGTTGGGCTGCGGAGCATATATTAAGTTTACACTTATGCGCTCTCGGCGGGGAGGGTCCTTTAAGAAATAAAAATCCATCTTAATATCCGCAGACGAGAGAGATAATTTTTTCCCCTTTCCTCACGCTGTTCCTTCTGAAGACTCCCTTCTAGCGAAGCGAATAAATAATTACCATCGCCTTCGCCGTGATCCACGGCCGGAGGTGGACTCTGACCACCAGACTGGCCCTCACCTTGGCCCTGTGAGACCTCGCTCCATTTCTCCGGATTTGGGGAGGAGACACCTCAACCCCTGGCTCTATAACCTCCTACCCATAAGCCCAACAGCTCTGAAACCGAAATGGGGACACAGAGACACAAAGCACAGACGTCGTTCATTGGTGAATTTCGGCCCATCAGGGACACTATCTCCAAGCCAAATGCTCCTGAGCACCCAGTCCCTGCCTGGGCTACCCTTCACCCCGACTGACTGGGTGCCTGGGGCAGCCTGAAGACTCAGAGGCTTCTAGGAGCTCCCAAACCAGGGGAGGCCCTTGCTTACCTCCCACTGGCTGGCCTGACTCTCTGGAAACTTCCCCATTTCCCTGGGAGCCATAGAGAGGTTTGAATACTTCTCTCCAAGAGAAGAAATTTTTTCTCCCACAAAGGGATGGGGGACAGACAGACCAACAATTCAGCTCGGGAGACTGAGAAGCTCTATTCCCATTTTCTCCTCCAGCTTCTTTGAGAGTCAAAATAAATGTTTGCATAAGAGAGAGAGAAAAAATAAATGTGTATGCATATAAATATATATAGGGTATTTAAGAGAGCCTAGGGCAGACAGATAGGCACAGAGCCCTATACTAATACAAGGTCACATATATCCCTCCCAGCAGAGGACTGTGAGAATATAGAACTCCATGTATATATTTTGTTACAGGGACATAATTTTGTTTCCCTGTTTAGAAGTTTATAATGTTTTAATAATCATAATAATTTCAAAGTAGTAGAACCAAGAACCTGACCTCTTTCTTTTGGCTTCTTTTCCCCAGTATCTCTGTGAACAGGGGTGTGTCTCCTCAGTCTTCCTAACCCTTTCCCCATTTATTCCCCCCTCTCCCGAAGGCAAAGAAACCTCTTTTGAGAACTTTCTCTGTAGCAACCAGGGCCAGAATTGAAGAACCAGAGGCAGAAAGGATTAGAAGAAGCTTTGCAAAGTTTCTCACTGCTCAGATTTTCCTCTACCCCATTCTCCTCCCCTCCTCGCCCTGGCATCAGCCAACAACCTTTCCACCAACATAGCAATGGTGGGCACGGGCAGCCTCAGTTCACCCAGATGTTTCCACAGAGTGCAAAGACAGGCAGCTGCCTGACAGTCACAGACACAGAGACTGAGGCCTACGGGCCACAGATGACTCAACAGAGACCAGAGTCAGGTTTTTGCCCTGATGTTTCCCAGTTGCATGTTCGTGTGTGAGGGGTTCTATTTGGACTTGATGGCTTTCCTCTAACCTACTAACACCCCAAATAGATCTTTCCCCTGGAGATGGAGCTATAGAAGGGGAAGGGAAAATGGCTGGGCAGGCGCTTGGAGTTCCCCAACTCTTGGGACCTCCAGGTACCCCACTTTTCTAAGGGGAATCTCCAGTCGCCTGGAGGTAGTAGGTGGGAGAAGCTAGCCATGCCAGAGACCCTCTTCTCTTTTTGTGCTCCTCTCTCTGCTAATGACTCTGCCCCACCCTGCTGCCCAACTGAGCTGGCCCACCAGGCCACCTCTTACTCAAACTCCTGAATTTCCTTGGAATTGGCTGGACCCTCTTTGTCTGTCTCCATCAGCTGGGCCCAGGAGACAATAGCTGCAGGAAAACTCCTCTCCCTTAGTCACAGGGATTGGGACAGGTTGAGGAGAGGATCAAATAAAGCAGGGTTCTCCAGACTTGTTCTGCGGCCCCACTCAGCTTGCCCTCCTTGGTCTGCACCCACTTTGCCCTACCTGGGAGGGGACAGTGGGGCAGTCCCACTGGGGAGGATAGGAGCGGGAGAGGTGGGTTGGGGCCCTCGACGAAAACCGACTGATGTAACTCAGGCAGTTTCTTGTTGCCGAGTTCAAAACTCAATCCCAACAACATGAAACTACCTAAGCCACAGATCAGCTGAGCAAGCAGGGCGGGAGATTCAGCCTTGCATCTATCCGGAGGAGAAGGGAAGGGGGTTGGGGAAGGAAGAAATTCAGCCCCGTCCCCCTTTCCGCCCCCACAACCTCCCTAAGGACTCGAGAGTAGACTTTGTATTGCTGGGTGGGTAGGGGCTCTGACTGCCTTCATTAGTTTCTGGTCTAAGCAAATCGCTCAGGAAAAATCTGGTGAAATGGGACTGATAGCCGCCAAATCCCTGCCCCACCCCCAGCACCGCAGTGGAGTTATTCCCCTGCATCTGGCCCTGGCCCTGGGGGAAGCTGGATCTTCCTCCCACTCTGGAGCTGGGTCCCCTGTCTTGTCCATCTGGCTCTCCTGCGCTTCCCTCCTAGACTCCTCTGATCCGCTCTCTCTCAGCTCGGTTTAGGCTTCTCAGCGAATATGGGCGACTGAATCACAGCCCTGTGCTCTGGAGCCACTTCCAATCAGGCCACTTGCCTGGCAAAGCCCTGCAGCCAGGGAGCACAGGGAACAAGAGCCTGGACGAGGCTCACACCCAAACCAGCAAAAAGCAGGAAAACCTAAGCTTCAAGCTTCAATCCTCTGTACTCCCCCTCCCCCACCAACAGACGACCAGACTGAGCAACACCTAGACCGGAATGTCGACCTCGAGGAGACCCAAAGTGCCCGAAAAGATAAAGAAGCCAAAAACCATCAATTTATCCCTTTAACTGTGGAACCCCCACGGCAATGGGCCAGGGAGGGGAGGAGAGGGAGCTCCCAGTCGCTGCCCTCAGCTGCCAGCGGCCACAGGAAAGCCTGGGCTCTCGGCAAGCACGGATGCCCTAAACACCTTGCTCCAGGCTCTGTCCGCTGCACGCCGGGCACCTGGGGACACCGCTCGTCCCCACTCCGCCGCCAAGAGAAGAACAAGAAACCGCTTCTCTTACCTTGCCGCTGCCTCCTCCTCCTGCTGCTGCTGGCGTTTCTGTTAGCTGCTGTCGAGGTTGGGGGGGTTGAGCTCCTCCTGCCCCTCCAGCGGTTAAGTTTATTCCTCTCCTTGGATGGGTGGGGGTTCTTGGGGTGCCCCCCAGCAGCAGTGGGGTGCGCCCAGCACAGCACCCCGGGCAATCAGATCCGTCTGCTCCTCAAGATTGCAGTTTGCTCTCTGCCTCTTCCCTCCTCCAGTCACCTTTAAATGCATCTTTTACTGCAGCACCACATTATATTTGCAGATCATAAAATCCACCTCTCGCGCGCACCAAGACCGTCCTGACATTACTGTTTTATGACCTTGACTTATTGTGGTCACCTGGATAATATTTAAATCAACGTTATGGTCTCTCACTTACATTAAACCCGCCAAGAGACGTTCTAGAAAGGCTCTAGGAGATGAGTCAAACACAAAACACACACATCCACACACTCAGCATCTTCGGGGGAGGGGGTGTCGCTAAAAACACTAAAAACAAAAAACCACCCATTTGAGGATTATGATTCTGGAAATTTATTAGGATTTTTTTTCTCCATTAAGGAAGCTACATGCAAAAGATACAACATACAGAATATCTTTAAATAACACAACTCCCAGACAGGGACGGGGCAATATTGGGGGGGCATTCTGTCTTTGCTTTGCTATGTTCTATTTTTAATTTTTTTGTTCCTCTGGATGAAATTTCTGAGATGTTAGTAGATGGAGGACGTGGGGGTGCTGGGAGGGGTGGGAGAAAAGCAGAAAGCAGTACAAATACGAGACTTCAAGCAGATTCTCAGAACGACTGGGAGGTAAAGATATGGAGAGGGTTTGGCGGAGGCTCTGGGTGCTACGACAAACACAGGAACACTAGCCGAACTCTCCAAAACGTCTATTATTCTAAGGAGGAAATGCAGCAAGGAAGGAACAATTCTGCCTGTGCTCTGCGAGATTACAGACCCTCTCTGGTTAATTTTTTTTCTCTTTTCCCCTCAAGCGGGTGGATTCGATCTTAACTTTGCATGGAGAACAGAATGCTGTGTGTGAGTGCGTGGGTGAGTGAGGGTTTGACACACACACCAGCCACACTCCCACCCCCATCTATGAGGGCACACCCACACCCCACACCCTGGCACCCCATTTCTCATGCTTTAGGTGGAAGCATCTTCGAAGCACGAACCATAGGTCCCTTGGAAGGAGAGTCTGAGGTCTTTGCCTTTTTTGCAGGCGCGTTGCATTTATACTCAGGGAGGAAAAAAAAATATCACCAGGCACAAAGGGAGGAGGGGCGGGGAAAGGAAGGAGGGGGAAGGGAGGAGGAGAGGCCGCGCGCTCAGGTGAAATTAAAATTGGAGGTCAGTTCTCGGATCCGATTCTCTCGGTTCATTTTCTTGAGTTTCATTCTGCGATTTTGAAACCAGATTTTGACTTGTCTGTCTGTAAGGTTAATGGTCTTGCTAATCTCCAGGCGGCGCTCTCGCGTCAAATACATATTGAACAGAAATTCTTTCTCCAATTCCAGCGTCTGGTGTTTAGTATAGGGGCACCTCTTCTTCCTTCCGCTCTTTGCTGTCAGCCAATTTCCTGTGGTGTTTTCTGCCTTTATCTCCTCTGTTAAAAATAACATTATTTACATAAGTATCCCTCGAAGACGAAAACCCTCTTAGTGCTGCAGCCTTTGCCAGCCTGCTGTGGGGTGGCTGAGGGAGCACAGGGGAGCTGCTCTTGCCCCAGGGGCCTGGCTGTGGGGTCCTCTTAGGCTCAGGGTTCTTACAATTGCTTTGGGGTTTAGACTTAGGGAGATAAAGTGAGGAAGTTCTTGCCTCCAAGTGTTTATTATATTTAAATTACCCAAGTTCGCCTTAACCTAAAAGATCCTGAGTACCCTCATTTTCCCTCAGCTGGCTGACCCTGGTGGATTCCCTAAATCTTGCCAGGTCACCCCTTCTCTCTGCTCCATTCCAGGTCTGGAAAAATCCAACCAGATGGAAAAGCATTCTCCAGGCCCCAGACCAGAGCAGAGTCCACCCACAGCACAGAGAAATTCCCAGAGAGCTTTGACCTGTTTCAACTTACTGGAGGGACTTTGTTCCAGAATCTGTGGCCAGAGGCCACTGCAGTGGTCCCTGCACTGGGCCCCCAGGTCTGACCCCAACCTGAGCTGCCACAGAGTGACTCTGCTTCCTTAAGTCTCTCACTGCCATCTCTTCCTCTCTTAATAATTTTCCCCAGGTATGTGTAGCTGAGGCAGGGGAGCTTGTGAGAGCAGCAGAGGTCAGGGGAAACAGAGCTGGGGTATCCCGAGGGGTTCTCAAACAACTTTCCTGGCCAAGGGATCTAAGGTCAAGGGAGAGACATATCCTGAGGAAATGCAGCCTCCTAGAAACCCCCTGCCCAGTCTGTGCATACATAGATATGTATGCCTGCAAGTACATATGTGTACCTGCGGAGATACACACACCTATACACGTAAGTACACACCCATAGATATGTACACGTGTCTATTTATTAAGGAGATACTATAGAATACTGTGTATTTCCCATGATCTTGACAGCCCCTCTCCCTGACACACATTCTTGCTGAAATGGACCAGCCTTGCTTCTCAAGCAGCAGAAGGGAACCTGATCATCTTTTTAAGGGTAAAACACAGAGTCCAAAAACCCAAGAGGGCACCCAGCAAAGGACCCTGCTGATGGCTCTGAGCTCTCTCTCCTCCCTATGCCAAATGAGGCTGTCAGGTTCTTGGATCTTATCTTGATGGGGGTGGTTTGGGGGCAGTGGCCTAAGAGGAACCAGAAAACACACAAAAAATGCAAACTTGAGGCTGCAGTCTAAAGAATCTGAATATCCTTAATTTTCTCTCCTGCCTCTGCACCTGCAGCTTCTTGCCAGATTGTTTACAGGCTCTCCACATCTAACTATGTCCTGTTTAATTTCTTAATGGGGTTGTTAGATTTGGAGGTGGGGGGGGGCAAGAGAAATTATAAATGGAGAAGTTTAGCCAAAAGCTCTCTTGCCTTTGGCCTGGTGGAGACACCAAAACACGAGGAGGGGAAAGAAGGGTACAGACAGGGTACAGGGCAAGAGGGATTCCTTGGGGTGGGAGGGATTAGGTTGTTGTGGGGACAGCTAGAGGAAAAGGAGAACATGTGGGAATGGGTGCAGGTCGAGTTAAGAGGTGAACTTGTTAACCTTGACTTTGCTTTTGGTAGGGCTAGAATGCAGCTTTTCCTGCCCCAAATCTGCTCCCTAACCAAGCTCAGGGTCTGTAGAGAGGGTATAAGATGAAAACCTTCACATTGTACACGTGCCACAGAAAAGCCTTTGAGGCTGTGGGCACCTCACTCTCCCCCTCATCCTCAGGAACACACCCGTGCTCATCTTCAGTCAGTGTCTCTACGGGGCTGATTTGCCAAGGCCACCTTTGCAGACTCAAGAGGATGACGCTCTGCCCTTGCCCGCCAAAAGAGTGCTTGTGCATGTGTGAGCGGGCATGCGTGAGTGTGCGAGGAGCATGCAATATGGGTGTGTGTGAGTGTGACACAGGTCGCCCATAGGCATGCGTGTGCGTCGCATCCATATACAAAGCACCAGGAGATCCAGGCCGCCCCCAGCCTGCTCTGCTCTCCATATTTCATCTACCTTTACACCCAATGAGCCCCTCATATATTGTCGCCAGTAGCCAGTGTTGTGGGGAACAGGTTTATTCTTCCCCGTTGGTTGGGCCTTTTTCTGATTCTCTTTTCTCCAACTTTTCAGGAAAAGTCGTTTCCCGTCGTCTTCCCTCCCCTGCCCCCGTTTCCTCCACATTCTTTCCCCAAGTGTCAGAGAAAGATCTTGGAGGCCCCCAGCTCCTACAGCAGAAATGAATCTTGAACCCTGAGCTTGAACTCTGGCTGGGCTTTCTCTCTCCAACCAAAATTACAATGAAATCCAACCAAAGCCACATTCTCTTTCAGGAGAAAACCTCTTACCACGCACACAGAAATTTCCCAACCACTCATTTGTAAGCTGTTTTTGGAAACCAATGAAAAAAGATAATTTAACTAGAAAAAAATTAAAAGAGGAAACAGAAAACTTACAACATTCCAAATGCCCTGTTCCAACGCCATCCAAGCCAGGCATCTGGAGGAGGGAGGGACGTGGCAGGCAGCCCTTCACCTCCACCTCTTCCGGCCCCAGCCTCGCTGCCCAAGGCCCCCGGCGGAGCCAAAAGCCGCAGGAGCCCAAACCGCACGCACAATTCAGACCCACAAACAACAAATCGCGTTTCGCAGGAAACAATTTTCAACTGGGAAAACGCAGTAAAGAGGAACCCTTCATCTCCCCAGCCTTCTCTAGTCCCTGGTCCAAGATCGCCATTTTAAGCTTTTTGCAAGCCTCTGACCTGAGCTGGGGGACATCAGCTCCCCAGGACACCAGCACTGAGAAAGCAAAGCACAGTCAGCACGCGCCCAGAAGCAGCCACCCTTCCCGGGCAGCACACTGCGACTGCAGGCTGCCCGCGGTGCGCACCGCCCGCGCCTTAGTACCCCCGGCCGGGGCCGGGCCGGCATCTCCAAGTCGCCGCTTACCTTCCCCAGCTAAGTGACGCGCCACCAGCCTGGAGCTCAGCAGACACTAGTCTCAAGCCGGGTCGCATTCCCGAAATCGTCAGGGGCCTCCTGGGCCCAACCCTCTCCCCTGCCCCCCTCCCCGGCCGCGAAGACCAAGTGCCTGAACGTCCCAGTGGCGCCCGCGGCCCAGGCAGCCTTACCTTTCGCTTCGTTATCCGAGGTGTCTGGGCTGGAGTCGGCAGTTTTGGCCCTCTCCTTTTCGTTCTCCGAGGGGCTGCCTTTTGGGCCGGCTAGGCTCTGCTCCGTCTTGATCTCATTGGGGCTGGGGGCCTGGCTGTCGGACTTGGGGGTCTCAGGGAAACTCACTTTGCCCCCCAGCTGAGGCGATTCCAGATGTTCGGCGCGCGGGTTGAGACTGGCCCGCTGCTCGAAAGGGGCTTCAAAGTCGTTGGCCCCGGCACAGTGGGGCGTCTTGTCCAGCGGCGAGTAGCTCGGGCTGGCGCGGTAGTAGCTGGGCACGGGTACCTCGTGCTCCCCGAGGCAGGACTCCGGCAGGGGGTGGGAGTAGAGAGCTGCCTCGGGGCCACTTTTCGCCCGCTTCTCTGCGCTGTACATGCAGCAGACATTCTCCTCCTTGACACTAGGTGGGTAGGAGCAGGAGGACAGCGGCCTGCCAACAGGTTGTTCCAGGCGATAGGCGGCTTTAGGGTCGCCCCAGGAGTCCAGCTGCGAGAGGTAGGACGGATAGGTGTTGAGGGCGAGGCTGGGGCTGCCGCCCTCGTCCCTCTTGGAGAGCGAGGGCGCGAGCCCGCAGCCCCTCATCACCCCGCAGTTGAAGTCACTCCCAGATTGCATATACATGCCTGCGCTCCGGCTATAGCGCTCTCCTCCGCCCGGCGCAGCCAAGGGCTCCGCGTACGAGTTCGGAGTTACATTGCGAGGGCATGTCATTTTCAGAGAGAGGGGTTTTTAAGGAGCAATACTACAGCGGAGGAGCTGACATCTTTTTTTTTCCCCCATCCGGGAGGGGGGGGCGCGGTTGGAGGGGAGGGAGGAAGAAGAAGGGGAGGGGGGGAAATATCAGCTCCATAATTATCCGTGCATTCGGTTCTCACCATGTGACGGCTAGACCAATGGGATTTGAAAATGGCCTTGATGATTCAGACGGCCGTGACGTCAGCGGGGTCAAGTTGTCGGCAGGCGGAGCGCGCAGAGTGGAGTAACAGCGCCACCTAGCAGCTGCCTCGGGGTAGGGGCACCGGAGCCCTTCCCCGCGAACAAAGGAAGCGTCCCCCGGGCGGCAGGGGCGGTAGGGGGGTGGAAAGGGTTGGGGGTGGGGGTTCTGGGGAGAGTGGGGTTTGTTTACCCGGGAACCAGCCTGTAACTCCTGGGGAGAAGGGGGCGGAGAGGGGGAAAATGCGGGAGAGAGGGAGAGAGCGAGGCAACCGGGCTCAAAACAGTCAAATTCAAATTAAAAGGTCGAGACACGTATCAGGTACTTCTCCCCCCTCTTTATCTCCCTTTTTCATCTCCCCGGCCCCTGTCCCCGCTTCTTCCCTTGGGGGTGGGAGTGGGGTGAAGTTTTTTGGGGGGGAGCGGTGGGGAATCGGATGAGCAGAGAAACGGGGAAAAAGTTAAGGAATCCCAAACAGGACTAAAGTTTCTGCTCTCCCGCCTCCTCGTTCCTCGGGCTTGGCCCTCGGGGCTGGAAGCTTGGGGGCCGCGGCGCTGGAGGTTGGTGGAGTTGCAAGTTCCCTGTGGGGGTTGCGGGGAGGGCCAGGGAGGGGGTCACGGTCACTTCATGGCTGCTAGGGAAAGGAGGTTCCGCATGGACGCGGGGTAGGGGGAGGAGGAAGCCAGAGACCAGAGGCACCCGATCCCCGACCCGGGAGCTGCAGCCTGGGCCTGGCAGGGTGGCGGCTCCTGGGTCACCATCTCAGGGGCCCGCAAGGCTTTGGCCTTGGAGTCGGTTCGGCTGCTTTACTTCAGGCCCTGGCGGCCCTCGCTTTCCGCTTGACCTTGCCCCCACTAAAACAGGGAATCTTCCGGGGAAGAAAGAGGGAACCCGCGGAACCTCGGCCAGTTTGGAGGAGTCACGTATCACACGGGAAACCAGCATACAAGACGCAACAAAACCCGACCCAGAGAAGTGTCTTTTACAGAGCGAATGGGCTGGGAGCATGTTTGAAAGAAGACAGACCAGTTTATTTTTGTGGTTGTTTTTAAATAAAAGGAAGAAATCAGGGGAACCGTATGTTTCAAACAGCTCTTTCCGTTTCTCCATCGCCTTCTTCCAAAGCGAACTAAACTCTCCACCCCTTCCTCAGGAAACGGAATCTGCAGAACAACTTGTCTTTCCGGTCGCCCCACATTTTTCCCTGGACAGATCCTGGGGTTCAGACTTTCCGAAGCGCTGGAGGCTGGCGGGGAAAGCACTGGAGCCCAGCGCCCTGGCATGGAGGAGTGAGGAGGCTAGACAGCTTCCAGGGAGGCCCAAGCCCGCTGCTGCTAAAAGACTGTGGAAAGAAATCCGCGGAATCCCCCCAATCAGGGGTGGAGAGAGAAGACGCAGGGGTTCCTGAACCTCGGGAAAACAGGAAGGAAATGTAGAGTGTGTGATTTGCTTGCAGGACCGGCCAGCGGAGATTTGAAATGGTTTTGTATTTTCATTTGCAGGGTCACCGTGGCCTCAGCATGGGGGTTATCCAGGGCAAGGTTAGGCTGTTTAGGCCCCAGACGAGACTTGGGACAGTCCGGGCAGCAGTCAATCCAGGGAGCCATTTGTCCCACCGCCCATCCCGCGGGAAACGGGCGAGACTTTATGGCCACTCTGTTTGTATTATCTGCATAAGTCTTTCCCCACCAGTTTGATCGAAACCGTTCCCTTTTACGAGGACCCAACGAAAATTTCCCGTCATATTTATCAGCCAGGGATAAAAATTTAGTATGGGAACTGATATTTCCTCATTTATGGGACGATGAAATTAAATACCAAAGCAATTGAGAATTATATGGCTTTGGGGGTTCCCTCCCCCCTCTTTCACGGCTTCTTTATTTTCCTGCCTGGTGTGCTTTTCCCAGGAGTTTAGTGTCCCAGTTCTCTACCCTTACCCCCCATTTTGGACTCTGGTGGGACCTTTTCCCCACGGCCAAGTGCCCCTCTGCCACCTCAGCCTTTCCTTTTTTTCCTCTGAATGTTAGTAGCTGGGGGCCAGGGCAGCTGCCCGAGCCTCTGCCCAGGCCAGCCAGGCCAGGCTGGGATCAGAGAAAGGTTTGCAGGGAAGAGCGTCAAAGGGTCTGAGCTGAGTCTGGGGAGGGGGTGAAGGAGATAAACTTTAGACAAGCCCCAAGGCGTAACCTGGGGAACCAGCAGAAAGGGAGCAGAGCCGTCGGCCTCGGGGCCCACCAGCCCAACTTCTCTCCAAGCCCACCTCTCACCTTAGTCAAGGGAGAGGACGGAGTCGCTTCGGAATCCTTGCCAATATTAATGAAAATAATACTCCCGGGAGAAGGAGCCTCCCGCCTCGACTCCCACCTCCTCACAAGAACGAATAGTGTTTAAAGTTGAAATAATTAGAAGTATGATAAACACGGCCCATTAATGAAAAAAGAAATCAAATTCATCAGCCTAAGTGGGACCCCCGGTGGGACAAATGTTTGCCTCTAATTACGCAAGATAAACGAAAACCCGGAGCTGTTAAACTAGAGCCCGCTTGGACGCAGACCTGAATAACTTGTTGGGTTTTCACAGACTTTGGGATTCTGCTTCAGTGGAGGTAAAAGGAAGGAAAAAGTGAGTGTTGGAACTTGGCGAAGGGAGCATTTATGCGGGTCTGAGTCCCAGCCCTGCCCCCTTGGGCTCGGTCTTTCCTGAGGCCACGAGCAAAGGCTGTTCCTGTCCTATTGTCCGGGCCTGGCGTTCAAAGGCATGCGGGCCGCCACAGCCTCCCCGCCTGCCGCCACTGCCAGGCACCCACCTCCCTGCCCCACAGGGCCAAGACCCTTCGGCCTGTGCCCTTGGCAACTGAATTGGGATCCAGGGGAAGTCTGTGTTGCTAGAATCACCCACATATGGACTGTTATTAATCCATTTCCCCAACTTTCCCAGAGTGCCGAGAGACCTGTGCCTACGCCTAGGTCTGGGGCTCCCCCTTCTTACCTCAACTTGGGAACATGAAAATTCAGGGCTGCAGGCCACAATGGGGCTCAGACTTTGCTTTCCTCCTGACAAATCCCACCCACCACAGTGCCCTGGCCCCTTTCACCCTTCCTGGGTACCCAGATCCTGGAAAGGCAGCAAGGACGGGGCTGGGCCTCCTTCCGCCTGTGCGGCTGTGAGCAATGCAGAGGAGGAGGGTTCAGGAGCTCCGTGAATACTCCGGGAGGATCCAGCGGGTTCCACAGGGCAGCCCAAGGGCTGGGGCGCTAGGGGTCCCCACATGAAAGCAGAAGGAAAATATGCTCAATGAACAAAAAGGGACTTTGGTTACTTTCCTGCCTGTAGCCCTCAACACACCCCAGGAGCACCCTGGATTCACCAGCAAAAATGATCAGAATTTCCCCAAGAGGTTAAGAAAGTCACCTGGGAAATTTTGTGGATGAAACGAAAAAGGAAAAAGGTCTTTCCCTTTGGGGTTAAATAATAAAAGAAAAATAAAAGGTGTGTGTTGAAATCTTTTTAAGCAGAGAAAACAGAATCACACCAGAGATTGCAGGATTTTTCCTCTCACTTTGGAGGCCAAGATAAAGCCTTCTCTTCCTAAAACTTGTGGAAAAGATTTGCTTTTCTTCTTCACTAGCACCAGGCTCTGCCCCAGCTGAATTGAAAGCAGGGAAATTCCAGGCAAAATTCAGAATGCCCAGAGACCCAGAAAAGTAAAATATTTACAAACAGGTACTAGAGAGAGGTAGGAGGCTGAGGACGCTTAGCGGGGCCTCTGGTCTGCTCTGGACCTCACAGCCTCTGGGACAGCTCGGCCAACAGAATCTCTCACATCTTGACATTGTACACACTTGCACACAGATACTACGGAGCTCAGCATCTATACACATGTCTAACTTGCACTTAAATGTGTGTACACAGCCACAAATATTCACTTTTACCCAAAGGACTGTCTGAGATCTCCGAATCCCAAAGCCTGATACCCCGCGCCAACCTGACTGCTTCCTGGCCCTGCCGAAGCTAGCCAGTTATTTAATTTTTGTCCCCTGAATTGAAACCAGACTGCAGACACCTCCGAGGGAAGCTTTGGGGGAAGGAAACAGGTGGAAAGATGCCTGAGGGGGCAGGCCCTGCTCCCCACTTTAATGGTTTGCTTCTAAGTTGCCCCAGTATGTCAGGTTTCTAGCGAGTCAGGGCTGTGGTTGGGCTGGCTTGCTCCGGAGAAAAATACCGATCCTTTCTTACCGGTTAATTTCCTTCTCAAAGATCTCTGCTTTCCTTTCCTTTCTTTTTTTTCCCCCTTTTCTGTCTTTCTTCTTTCTTTCCTTCTTGTTTTGTCCTTTTTCCTCTTTATTTGCTTCTTTCTGTTTTTCTCTTTCTTCCTTTCTCCCTGTAATACATTATTTCCTTCTTTTTCCAATCCTTTCTCAATTGTCTTCCTTACTTCCCACATTTCCTCGTTTCCTTCTTTATTATACAATTCAATCTTTGCTCTTTTTTTCTCGCCAATTATTTCCTTCCCCTTGACTTTCTTTCCTAAGCTTTCTTATTTTTCTCTGGCGTCCTGGGCTTAGTGAAGGGGACAGCATCAGGCTCCGTCGCATGCCTCCCCAGCCTAGCTGCTAAGGCTTGGAGTTGACCTTCTCCCGCCTACAGCCTTAGTTCAGCTCCACCTCACAAGTCGAAGTGTAGGGCTGCCAGCCGCCAGCAGCCAGGCCCCAGCAGTTGTCATTACGGGAGGAAAAATCGGATTCTGGGGCACATTCACACTAATGCTGATGGCTTCTTGAAGTGCCAGGATTCAGGGATTGTATATCTTCACTTCCATCACCCCAAAGGAGCCTTGTCTACCAGGCCTACCTTTGGAGAAGCCGTCCTGACCTCCGGAGCTGAAACATTAAAATGGCTCCAAAGTTGAGCCCAGTTGGTGCTCCCAAGGCTGGAGTCAGGGGAAATGAGCGAGTGGGATTCTGTCAGTCCTAGGCTGAGGGGCAGATCCGGGGGTCATCCATGGGCAAGGCCATCTCCCACATGGCTGCCTTTGTTCTCTGTTCCTGGACTGCAGCCCTGCGGGCCCTCTGTCTCCTTTGGTCCTGCAACCACTCCAGCCTTTGGCAGGAGTTTCTTGGTGTTTTGGATTCTTTCTTCAAACCCATTGTTGACTTCACAGGCGGCAGGCAGGCATGCAGGGCTGCGTGTGCAGAGACCCTCCCCAGTCAGCAGTCTGAGTCAAGGTTATGGGTCTCTGCTTTGTGCAGTGGGTTAGAAGGGGGAGCGTGCAGAAATGCGTGTGTGTGTGTGTGTGTGTGTGTGTGTGTGGAGAGAGAGAGAGAGAGAGAGACAGAGAGAGAGAGAGAGAGAGAAAGTGCCTGCAGGAGAACGACAGGGTGTAACGAGGGAAGATCTTGACATGCGATATTGTCCCAACTTTTGGAGTCTGTAAGAGTGTGACTCAAGAGCAGAGTGGACAGGACTCTGTACAAAGATGCCTCAAAGCTGAGTCCAATATGGGCCTCAGGAAGGACTGACTCAGACCTTCAAGGCTTTTTGCCTTAGACAGAGAAAGACAGCTCCATCCGCTCCCTTCCCTACACTGTAACACCCGCCTCAGCCCCTCTCTCCCTTGCCTCTCAAAGACTTGAGATTTCATCCTATGGCAAGACCAAAACTTTTAAGTTTTTTTTTTTTTTTTTTAAGGGATGGAGAATCTTGTAAAATTTTTATGCCAAACAAAGTTATAAAAACTTCCCGGGCGTTGCCTTTTCTAAAGGTTTATATGAATAATAAAGAGTGTAGTCGCGTGCACTGGTTCTGGCGGGCTCTGAGTAGGGAGGGGTTAGCAAACAGCGTTATCCAACCTTGGGGCACCAGAAAACCCCAGTGGCTGCCCCCTTCAGGGAACAGTGGCCCAGAAACAATTGCCTTACGGATTCCTGAGAGAGGCGGGGAAAGCGAAGGGGTGGTGCCCTTGACTCCCTTGAAGTTCAAAGTTCTTCTTTGCCCCTAAGAGAAGAGCCCTCTCTGCTCTCAGCCCACTCGAGAAATTAGCCCAAGGTAGTTTCTCCCCACTCTGGTTAAGAACTGGCTCTAGTATCCCCAACTCTGTTCACCTTTCAGACACCTGGTTTGCACCTTTTTGCTCTCCCCCAACAGGGCTGCCCAATCTTTCCATCTGGGACACCTAGAGCCAGGGGGCTTTCTATTAGAGGTGCTTGGCAGGGATTTTGAGCCTCCTTACAAAGGGCCCTTGCATCGCCATTGCTCAGCAATCTAAGAGTCTGAGTGACAAAGAAATCCCAAACTCAAGGCTACTCCCAAACCCATTTCTCATTTTGAGTGCCCTTGATTCCTCCTGCACCCCTAAAGCCCATGGTGGGAGGGGGAGGGGCCCAGAGTGCTCTCTCAGCCCACACCACTTAATACCCTTGTAAACTCCCACGTGCGCTATAAACTTGGATTTTTACAACCAACATTCCTCCTTAGCTCCGGGAAACTTTGAACTCGGCCTCAGGTTTATTTACTGTGGGGGGGGGGGGGGGGGGGGGAGGAAAGGAGCTGGGGAGCTGGGAACTGAGAAAGGCTGGAGAAAAGAGGAAAAATGTGGGGCAAGGGACTGAGGAGGTGGGGATCTGGGGTGTGGGGAGAGCCAAGACCCTCCACTACAGGTTTGTTTACTATTTAGGGCGGAAGCGGATTCTAATACAGGCCAGACTGGGTCGTTAAGGTCGAAATGAAACTGAGTTTAGAGACGCGGGTGGTTGGGGGGGGTGCTTTATGGCAGCGTCTAGACGAGGATCTTTTGTTCCTGGGCAGTGCTGTGGCTGGAGGGGATTACCCCAAGAGGTTGC